GATCCGAGGGCTGGAGCACCTCTCCTGTGAGGACAGGCTGAGGGAGTTGGGCTTGTTCAGCCTGGAGAAGAGAAGGCTGCGGGGAGACCTGATTGTGGCCTTTCAGTACCTAAAGGGGGCCGGCCTATAGGAAAGATGGGGAAAATCTTTTTAGTAGGGCCAGCTCTGACAGGACAAGGGGTAATGGTTTTAAACTAAACCAGCGTAGGTTTAGACTAGATATAAGGAAGAAATTATTTACAATGAGGGTGGTGAAACACTGGAACAGGTTGCCCAGAGAGGTAGTGGAGGCCCCATCCCTGGAAGCATTCAAGGCCAGGTTGGACGGGGCTCTGAGCAACCTGATCTAGTTAGCGGTGTCCCTGCTCGTGCAGGGGGGTTGGACTAGATGACCTCTAGGGGTCCCTTCCAACCCAAAACATTCTATGATTCTGTGATTCTATGAGTCTTGTAAAATGTATTTGTCATGATGCAAAGAAATGTATGTAACCAGGGGCACATGCTCTCAACTAAAACAGGAATTAAAAGTCAATCTTGTAATAGTCTCGGTGGTGAAAACAAGTTTTGATTCTATGAAATACATGTATTGCTGTGTAATTTTTAGAATAAATATAACAAGCTTATGATAAAATGAATGTATGCACTATAAAAGGGATTTATATATACTTTAAGAATTCCAAATGGCAAAAAATTAGGAGTTCACTTTGTTCACTTTATTCATGAAACAGTAATTTTGAGATGTGATCAAAATTTTAGCTTTTTCACTAAGTGGCTTACCAGTTGTCTGTAATATTGATAAGATTTGGGCTGTTAACCATCTCAATTCTATACTTTGCCAGCATGTTGTAGCTCTTCCTTATTTAAACCTTAAACTTGCATTAATCTCTACACAAGCAGAGCATGTGCCCATGCTTACCTGCAGGATAAATCACAGGGTGCTCTGAGGGGGTGTCACTCCCGCGGGGCTTTTGGCTGGAAGCTGTTGAGCCCAGGGACTGCTGTTTGTTTGGGAGAGGTACATAGCCACACAGGCTGCAGGGCTGGGGGCTGGACCGCCGTAGGTAAGAAGATGATGTTGCTTTTGTGACGTGACCCAGAGTAAGTTACTGTGGTTTTGAAGAGATTGGATTTCTACCTCAGCTCTGCCAGACTGAGAACGTAATGGGTCTTTTCTTTCCATTATTTGAACTGCTAGGAAGAGCATCTCTTTTTCTTCTTGGCTGTCAGTTTTGGAGGTTCATCACGTGAGAGTGGAAGGGTGTACTAAAGGAAGCAGAAGCTAAAATACTAAGGAATATGAAATAATAACATCTAAATACTAAATAAAAATTCTTAAGGTTAAGCTTGATTAAAACAGAGAAGTGTTACGCATTTATTTGATGATGCAGTAGAAAAAAGCCATACCTGTCTATGGCCAGATCTAGCCATTAGTATTTGTGCCAGCTGGAGGCTTTACTAAAGGTGCTCTGCCACAAGCGTGGCACATCAGAGAAGATTAATGTTTTTACGTTGCTTCTTACTAGACTCATAAATGTGTTATCTTTCATAAGTTACTCATCACAGTTATTATGCACCTAACACAAAAATAATGGCATCAACAAAACACAGATTCGGGAGTGTTCTTGAGGCTGCCTTCAAATGTGATGGGTTGTAGATGGTAGGTTGTAGTTGCACCTCTAGAATTAAAAACCAAAAAAATGTTATGATCCCATCACCAGTTGTTTATTATAAGGAAATAATCAGGGAAATCCTTGGTACAAAAACTGAGACCTGGTGCACATTCAAGAAAAAACCCAAATAATTAATCGGGACACCCGTGTTTGCTTATTTTCAGTGTTCTGATGCATCAAAAGGGATGCATGAAAAAATCTTAAATAAACATAGCTTAAGGTCTACTTTTTCTAAAGCCCCATTGTACTAAGTCTGGCTGGGACAGATTTAATTTTCTTCATGGCAGCCCCTGTGGTGCTGTGTTTGGAATTTGTGACTAAACCAAGGCTGATAGCACACCAGTGGTTTGGCTCTTACTGAGCAGCACTTGCACAGCATCAGGGTTTTCTCTTTGCCCCCTCTGCCCCCCTCAGGGAGTGGGCTGGGGGTGGGCAGGGGGTTGGGAGGAGACACAACCCAGAGAGCTGGCTCAGGGTGACCAGAGGGATATTCCACGCCATATAATGTCACGCTCAGCAATAAAAACTGAGGGGAGGAGGTTTTGGGGGAGGTAGCCATCGCTTAGAGCCTGGCTTGAGGATCGATCTGCCTGTGGGAGGTGGTGAGTGGTTGCCTTTGCATCACTTGTTTTGTTTTTTCTTCCTCTTCCCTTTGCTTATTAAACTATATCTCGACCCACGAGTTTCCTCACTTGCGCTCTTGCTGTTCTTTCCCCTGGTCCCACTGGCGGCTGGGGAGGGAAGGAGCAGCCGTGTGGTCCTTGGCTGCTGCCCCGGGCCAGCCCCCACACCCACAGAGCAGCCTCTGCCCGGAGATCGCTGCTCCAGCGGGTAATTCTGGGGGGCAAAGTCAGGTGCCAAATACACGTTGAATGGGGTAGGTTTCTGTTATGCACGTTCATGGGGAGGTCTTCTTGTGAATTCAATAGGTCAGAGAAGAGACACTCCGTTAATGTTAACTTAAAATTCCTATCAAAAGTGTTTGGTGTTCAATTGCAATGTTGGGGTTTTTTCAGTTTTTAATAGTGTGCCTCTTCTTTCTTGTTAACTGATAATATCGTTTACATGGTTTTGACTGGCCATTTACCATAACTTGCTAGAATAATAAAAGTAAACATGAAAAATACACATACAACCTACACAGTGGAAAAAAAAAAAAAAAGGCGAAAAAGATACTGAGCCGAAAACAAGCAGAGGAATGAAAACTAAATCCCTATGAGTAATGATGACTGACTGTATTCTGCACTCCTTTGGATTTCTTAGATAAAAATGTAATCTAGAACACTGAGGGCCCACGATGCTAACATTAATGTTTCCTACATGAAATAGTCGGGCTCTGCAAAGTCGTATCCTGTACAAGAAAATTGTATACAAACCAAATACAGTATAACTCTGCAGTTTTGTACTGCTGCTGTCAGGTAGATATGGTTGTAATCTTGGTGTTGTTACTGCAGTAAAGTAACTTAAGAGCAAAATCTCTTAAAATAGCTCATTTAAGCTTACCTTATGTGGAAAGCAGTGTGCTTTTACACTGGCTCGCTCCACGACACTACTTACTTCCATTCAGACTCTTTCAGGGCGCTTCTCAAACACTTTTTGAAACACACTTGCACCTAAAACCTAACTGCACAGGTAAAATCATCCATCATCCTTCAGTACAGTCAGATTTGTATCTGATAGATAGCAGATAGAAATAATTTGTATCTAATGTCTGCCAGAGGGGTTTAAAAAAAATGGGGTTTTTTGGGGGGATAGGATGAGTATCTAGGTGAGATTAAGTCATCAGGGCAAGCTGCAAGGGTCATTGAAGTCGATGGGTATCTTCCCAATCACTTCAGTAACTTTGCGGCAATCCCAGTGACTCGGTTCCTCTCAGGATGGGCTTGAGGAAATATTGACAAGTGGTTGAAGAAATGGTGATGGGAGGGAGGGCTGAGAGATAAGTACCACGGAGGTAGCTGGGTCAGACATTTCAAAGGTGGAAATTAATAGAAGGGGAGCAGCAGTGCTTGAAGGCACGTGCTACTATACATACAATATGGCATATATTATTTTGAGTGATGTTCAATGCCTCAGTTTAATAGGGTGGAATACAAAGGCAGAAAGTTAGGATTTAAAATCAAACTGCTGTTGGTTACATAAAGAAACTAACCTTTAATATGTTGCAGGAGCAATAAGTGATTTTTCTGTGTCTCAGGACTGGAATCATTGCTTTACTAGGGGATATGGTATCATTACATTGTAGTAAGTGGTTTATAAACACGTTCTTGTTTGAAACAAATAAATGGAGCTAACAGACTTTTCAACAGTTGCTCGTTTAGATTTACTGTAAATATTAAATGTTGTACGAACACTCAAAAAATACTTAAGACTGAAAATATTTAGCGTTTTACAGATCCCTCGAGTAAGTGATATAAACTGATAATCTGTCACTCTGAGTAATGAGCAAAGTAATTCCAGATTTGGAAATGTTTCCTTGAATGCCAGTAGGAAAAACCTGTAGCATTCAAGAACAGAAAGATTTGCATGTGTGCATTTGACTATTAAAACATTAGTGACAGCGAAAATGAAAGCTGTCACTTACCTTGGTTTGAGAAAATGCAGGTCTGCATGTGTTAACTGGTGAAATCATCAAAACAAGATCTGCTATCTCGTGAAATAAGCTTAAGAATCCCTCAAATAACCTTACCATGGAAATTTCCCTGCATCTTGCATACACTTGGAGAGAAAAAAATCATTTTTCCTTTCATCACAGGCTAAAGACTGACTTTTATTCAGGAATGGCTTTTAGAAGGCTTTTTTTTTGGATGAAAAATAGGTAATTGTGTTACAATAAATTTTCTGAATTTCTGTACTAATCAGTTTTGAAGTTTCAACATTTGTCTTTAATTATACATTCAATTGTAAATAATAGAGAACAGTCTTCTGTGGAATTTTTGTGGCTTTTATATGCCAGGGCCACATGTACATGGGCAAAAAACAACATTTTTTTGTGTGACAAAGCGATTCAAATTTTTATCTAAAAATTTTGTGGAAGGTAACTAAATATAAACAAACTCAACCATAACTTGTTACAAAAACTGCTGAGTTATTTTGCATGATTAAACACAATATGACTATAATACTTTCTTAAAGAGAAATTATTTTGATCTGGCCAAGAAAACAAATTGAAAAGCAACTTTATTAGGAATTATTTCTAAGGAAACTACAGGAGATGCTAAGACAAGTTGTATTTTATGCTATCTTGTTTTTCATTTTCAAACATGGGTTTTGTTTGCATAGAGGAAAAATACCATAGAAAGTAATATCTTAAAATTTCTTTTGACTTAGAAAAAACTGACCAAGAGAATCCTGCGGCAGGAGATAAAGACATAAACCAGCCTTCCAGTAACCTAAGTATACAACCAGAGATACAAGACCAGTCCGTCTGGGGAAATCGCACTGATGGTGACCTCATCAGAAGTAAGTATTTCCAGAACAAATTGCTGCCATTTAGGCTTGCTTTCGCAGTGTAACGGGACACTGCCTGTTGACTCAGTTAAATGTGTGTCAAATGCAATTGTGTTGCAACTATAATGCCTGCCTACCGGAGTTATTTTCTGGAATGACTCGTCAGCATGCATACACAATGAGTTCAAAGAAAGGTGTGATTTGAGTGGTGCATTGTAATATAGACCTCTGTAGCATCTGTGTTTTAAAGCCTTAATGTTATATTCTTCTCTTACCATTCGTAATGGGATGGGTATATTTAGTAGGCACATGAGCTGCAGTATGCGACTGTGCTAGGTGGCATCGCCTTTGATTTCTCAGGTTATCCATTTAAGCAGCAGAGTAACCTATGCTAAGAGCAGTTGCTTCCAGATGCACTGAGTGCTGGTCAGGTGTAAATTAACAAAGAGGTTTAAATCCTAAAGTAGTGCGTTCTTTCAAAAGTAGAAGAATGCTGTAAGACAAGGTTTTATGCCTTAAGTGCTATGGAATTGCGTTTTTTTCATTTTTAAATTCGTTTTTACAAGTCCACATTCCTAGTGTATTTCTTGAATGCTTAAAAAAATAAAGGGGTGTGTAAGTTTATTCCCATTTGTCTGTCTTGAATTGAAGATCATATGCAGTCCAAAAGATCATCCACAATTGCACCCTCCTGAGGCGAAAATACTTCCGTCAACTGCCAGAACTAATACTACTTTAAAATTCTGTGAATGCCTGAACGTTAGTTACTCAAGGGAGGGGCAGCATGAGAAACTGTTCTCTAATTATAGGGTGTATTCAGAAAGCAAATGGACTAAATGCTGAGCGGTGCTCCAGCTCTCTGAGATCGTTTTCTGACCACACTTCAGGGTCGGTCTGTCTTTACATTGCACATGTACTACACGATACACAGTGGGGTAAATTCGTATTTCTAAACGTGCTGTTGCTATAAGTGGTGATTTTCTCTGGAGTTACCTGTTTTGTTTTGTTTTAAATCTTCTCTATACAGTCAACTTCAGAACTTTGTGTTAGCATTTTAAGTTCTTCTCAAACTTCAGTTAATACTTTTTTTCTAAATAATGAATCCCACTAAATACTTATATCCTTAACATATTGAATAGTTATCTAGATCCTTTACAGGAAAACTTGAATTTAGCAAGTCAGATACTTATCTAACAAGGTAAAAATAATTCTTCAGGGGCTATAAAGAGGAAGAATTTTCCTTTGCAGTTTGAGAGTCTACCTAATTCCAAAAGATCATTATTTTAGACCAAACTGTCTCTTGACAAGCAATTGCTTTGTGCTTGTGTTGAGGACATGGGAAGGTGTGTACAGCATCTGCTGCTTTTGCAGTGGCTTCCTTCTTATTCCCTCTTCCTAGAGGCTTCCTTATTCCCAGATCCATGGGAAAGCAGATTTATTTGATCCCTGAACTATGGAGGAAACGACCAAGGACAGTAGGATGGTGCTGTGCTTCCTCTAATCCATTCACCGCAAGGACATACTGTAGTGGCTGCACTGGGGAAGTGGGAGAGGAAAAGGTAAATTTTTCAACGTATAGTAGAAATTGCAGCAGATTGTGCAAGTCCCTGGTAAAGAGACTTAACAGTTATATGCAGTTATAAGTCTCTGTGATGGGAGGGTTCTCTCTTGCTCAATTAAAGAAGTAACAGGAACAAGGGCAAAGAGAGGGTAAAATTCTGAGGTGTAATGCACTGCTCCAGTGTGCATAACTGTGCTCCTCCTAGAGTCACTAGTAGTTTTACCTTTGACTTTGTGAAGAGCAAGTTTAGGTGAAAGCTGGAGGTTTCTAAAACTCCTAATCTTAATAATTGAGGTTTCTGCAGTAGTGGCTTTATCACGAGACATGTTTGAGTAGCTGCTATGATACAGTCCTCTCTTTGTTTCAAAGTCATGATTTTTTTTAACCTTTAATGTTCAAGTCTTCTAGATGGAAGAAACAAGAATGATGAAATTAAAGCAGCTTCTTTTTCTTCTTTTTTGAGGGGGCTGTGGCTATGGGTAGGGAAGTTTGTTCTACTTAAAAAAAATGAAGAACAGTGTTTGACTCGATTACAGGTACTTCTTGTAGTTTGCAGAAGTTTTACGACTTGGTCTACCTAGTAACTAAAGTTTGAGAAATAGAGTAGAGAGAAGCTTGTTTATTACAAATATTACTTGGGTATTTCATCTTAAATAACAAGTATCATAGCTCAGAATGGCTGTGATTCAGCCAGATCTATTACCCCACTAGACTAAAGTTTGCAGAATATTGCATATTGCAAGAAGCTGGAGGTTAGAACTAGTGTTTTGATCATTACAGTCTGTTTTAAAACTGTTTCTTTAAATAGTTTTAGACAGGGCATACTTCAATTTTCTCAGGTATTAGCAACCATTCACCACTATCCTAATGCTTCAGTTTCTTTTTTTCCCATGCAGATTGTTTTCCACCCCCACAGTTGATACATACTCCATTTGTGTTAGCTTTAGTTTTCACTTCATAAATGTTTCCAGTGTTTAATTTCCAAGGTTTTTCTTGTTTGCAGCTGTTTTATCCTGCTGTTATATGGAAGTAGATTAATCAGTCAGTTTTATTGGCACACCAACAACGAAGTCCAGTGTTAGAGACTCTGTAATGACTTCATTGTGTATGATTTCTCATTTGCACTTGTGAACTCAGTTTACCAGGCAACATCAATAAACTAAAATGCTGCCCCTGTTTTCCACAGTAAGATGTTTTCAGTTCACCTTGCCCTGCCCTTGCAGTCCTTTTCTCAAGCCCCCTTTTTTTAATCTCTAGATGATGAGATTCCCCCAGATTAGCCCTTTCCCCACCTCCTTTGGAGCATCCCTTTTTTCCCCAAATGAAAACGTACATAATATCCTGGGTAAATGGGTAATCTTATGGAAAGCTTCAACCAAGGAATTAATAATTTTTGAAAAGAGCCTGCAAGTCATGGTAGAGGAATATTAGCTTCCAGTGCACCACTGCTTCAAAATACTACATTTAAACAGAGGAGAGCTAATATACGAAGAAAATGGTTATTTTACGTTTCTGTATTAATTGTCAATGCACTTGCATAACTGTTACTGGAATACGGCGTTCAGTTGGAGAAGGGTCAGGGGAGAACCACAAATATCTCAGGAATGACTGGAGTAGTTGAAAACATGTCTTATTGTGGAAAAACTCCTGGGGTTCAATCTGTTCAGTGTTAACAAGGAGGATAAAGAGGGGCTTACCGAGTACCTAAGAAGCATGATACTACAACGAACAGAAATTTGGTAAGACAATTCTTCAGCTGTAGCAAACAAAGGGGGAACTAGATGTAATGTCTGGCAGTTCGGGTAGACTAGAAAGAAGTTGTACATTTTTTAACGGAGTATTTGAGAACAGGAAGAACTGCCAAATACTTGGTGGTTTTACATGTGTTAAATTGGCCTTACTCTTCACAAGGTGCCCACTGCTATCCGTATACTCAGTTTTAGAACTTGAGGAGAGTCTGTTTTCCATAGTGATTCCCCCAAATTGGGATACCCTTAGGTTTTTCATCTCAGGTGTTCTTCAAGGCAATATTGAGACCTATTCCTTTGCTTTCACAGATGCACACATATTTTGCATTTTATTTCAGGCCATAGAGGTTCTGCTTTTCAAAAGAGCTTAGCCTTAGAATAGCTCCATCTGCTTTTCCTTCTTCTTCTGCAGTGCATTTTAAATATCTGCAAACACCTTCTGCTTATTTTCATTGTATGATCTGGTGGCCTGTAATGGAGATGTTCTGCTTCTGTTATCACTCACCTTTGGCACGTGAGAAAGAATGGATGTTAAAACATGCAGCAGCTATAGGAACGAAGCCATAGGGGTTCTTGCTGCTCCACATTACCACAATGCCCTGCTTTGTTTTTTGGGAAAGGTTGGGGATGGTTTTTTTCCCTCTTAAAAAAAAAAAAAAAAGGCTATAAAAATGTGGATTTCAGAATATTTAGGCAGATTTTTTACAGAGGGTACTAGGTTATCATCAGTGTGTGCTGTTATGCAGGGGAAGGAATGTTTAGGAGGCAAGAAAATGCCAGTCTTGAACACTATTTACTTGTGAGGATTTAATCTCCTTTCCAGTGCTCAAGCAGGACCTTAGCTATGTGATATTTAAGAAAACAAAAAACATCTACCATAGATTCAAATTGTCATGAATAATTGATTAATAATAATCCAATTCTCAAGATTAAATACCTAAAATATGCCCATGTTTTACAGATAGAAAGGTCATTGCTATCCATCATTTCCTAGCTTCAATTGCCTCTTTCTCCTCCATGAAACACCCTCCTGATAAGAGTGGTTCTTTAGAGAAAGGGATGCTTCAGTCAGCTCAGTGGGGATTAAACAATTTTGCATGTTCTTGTGCCTACTATTTTATTTACTACGTTCTTCTTTATTGTGTTTTGTTTTATTGAAATATAAACCTAGATATTTTTTATCTTTTTGTTTTCTGTGTTTTTATGTTGACATTTTTACTTTACATCAGTATTTATTTAATTTTAACGTCTGGAGATTCCCTTTTCCTACTGCCTAAGCAAGTGAGCGATTGCCATAGTTTAAATTATACAGTTTGGGTTTGGGACTTTTTTCCCAAGAAGAAGAAGAAGATAATCTGCTGTTAGAACTGTTCTTCTTGTTTGATATTAATCCAAATATCTTTTCTTGGCTAATTTGTAGTGCACAGTCATCTTACAATTATTGTGGTTTCAGATGACTGTGTTTATTCTGTCTAAAAAATAGTGCAAAGTGCTTGAGATAAGTGGTTCTCTTCAAAGCTAGAACATATGACAGATGCAGTCTTCTGGCAGTGTAACTGAGTGTGTGAGTACAGAAATTGTGCAGAACAGATTAATGGAAAATATTCAGAATATATTGCCGAATGTGAAAGGTGTGCTGTTTTAGTTACAGAAGCGATTTGTGTACAGTGTTCCAAATATACCTCTATACCTGGTATATATGG